TAAGGCATATTATATACATATCTATGGTATTAAACAAAAAATTGACCTATAATAGGTACCTATAATAAATTCCAAATTAATCATATCACAATATCCATTAGATACTTATAACGCGTTATACATCAACAAAAACCGTGATACTATCATAGATATATAATAGTACACTTTAGAAGTTTCAAGTACCCACGAATAATATTATTCAATCACAACAAAATAACTAAAATCGTAATTCTTGGTTTAAATATGAAATTTTGTCTCAATTTGAAATTAAAATGTCTGTAAAAAATAAGTGTGTTTATATATTTTTTAGATTTTTTGGTTACAGTATGAATTATTTAAGAGAACCTTTGTTTTAAATTTTCAACTCTTAGTTATAAAAACTGAACATTTTATAATTTTTTAATTCCAACGATTGATAATTTTCGAGATTTTGATAAATTTTGTCAAAATTCCAACTTTAAATGCTTATAAAAAAAAACTGTGCCTATGTATTTTTAATATTTTTCAACTGCTATTGTAACAATATATCAGGAGCCTTGTATTAAATTTTTACACTTTTTGGCCAACAGATAAAACTTTATTGATATTTATAGAAAAAAAAACTAAAAAAAATTGAAAGCTGTAAATGTCCATAAACAGCTCAAAAAGAGTCAAAATATTTTCAAAATTGTATGGTGTATAGAAAATGCTAATTTGAACATTCAGTGAAATTTTCATGTATCTACAGTTGTTCGTTTTTGAATTGCAACAAAATAAGGAAATCGCTACATGAGTAATCGAGTGAAAATCCAATGTTGTAAAAATTTGAATTTCAAACGCTCATAAAAATTTAATTTGACTGTCCGGTAGAGATTTTTTTATTGATAAAGGTAGATAATCTTATAAGGAATCTTGTGTTTCATTTTCAAATCTTAGATTTAAAAAGAAAAATTTTTACGAATTCTTAACTCAAAATAATTTGCTAATTTTCGTGATTTTTCCATATTTTGTCAATTTTTGAACTTAAAATGCTTATAAAAAAAAATTGTGACTAAGGATTTTTAATATTTTTCATCTGCCTTTGGAACAACATATTAGGAGCCTTCTATTAAATTTTCAAGCTTTCGCAACCAATAAATACAATTTTATTGATATTTTTAGAAAAAAAACTAAAAAAAATGGAAAATGAAAATGTCCCTAAACAGTTCAAAATAAATCGAAATATTTTGAAAATGTTATCGTGTATAGAAAATGCAAAAATAAACAACCAGTGAAAATTTCATGTATATACGTTCATTTGTTTTAGAGTTACACCAATAACCAAAATCGATTTTTTGGAAAACCAATTTTGCGTAAAAATTCCCGTTTTTCCTTAATTTTTATGTTGTTTTTTCCCGGCGCTTGTGAAAACTACTGGGAAATTTATACTTTTGACCCCCCAAAGTACCAACTAGATTCACTTTCCTACCAGAAAAGCTACTGATGAAGAAAATCCAAGCACTTTTACTGTCCTAAAACGTGATGACAGACACAAAAATATAAAAATATAAATAAAAACATACATCATTGTAAAACCAATACATTCATCGCTCCGCTCAGAATCTAAAAATATAATTATACAAGAAACACAAGTGTGTTTGGTCAGTACTGTTACACCTAAATATATAAATATTTATACTTAAATAGAAAAATCACAATTTCATCAATGTCATTTCGTACTTTCGGGTCTCGAATCACGCAGTAAAGATAAGCGGTTGAGCCATCACCATCAGTAAAGTTTGAGTCGTATCTGTCATTTCCATTTAGTTATATTACGTCGTCTAAAACATTTAAAATTTTCTAATTATTATTAAATCTGTTCGCAGTGAAGCAGTCAAAAGAACAAAAATCTTTTAAACTTAATTGGTTATTTTTGTTTGCGGTTTTCACACTGCAGACTAAACTTATACTGACAATACACCATTAAGAGGACGTAACAGTGGTATTTGTTGTCTTCGTCTTACAAGTGAGTAACATAGCAAATTTACGCTTAATAGAACACGTGTAACTTCGTTAGTTTAAACATTAGAGTGAATTGACCTATTATGAAAATTGATGGTAAGAACATTATCTGTGTTTGTATGTTAGTTTTTTACGATATTTCAATTTTTAGCAAGTTATGCGTATATAATATACCGTAAATTAAAAATGCTCATAACTCACTTAAAAACTGCATTATCTTAAAAAAAATCAACGTGCAAACACGAATAATGTTCTTACCATCAATGTTCATAATAGATCAATTCACTCTAATGTTTAAACTGATGAAGCTACAAGTGTTATTCTGAGCGTAAATTTGCTATGTTACCCACTGGTAAGACGGATACAACAAATACCAGTGTTACGTCCTCTTAAGTAAATTTAGTTTATATTTTATTACTCTACACATCAGTCAATATTTATTCGTTATGCTTTAGGTACCTACATCTAAATCGTGATTTATTATTTATGGCATTATTCTACAATATAAACACTATTACACTATCACTATGATTTTTATCTTGAGAAACAACGGTATGTTATACAATAGCATTACAATGTTATGACAATAGGAAGTTATATTGTGATAAGTGGAACTTGGTTGTGAGCTTGGGAAAAGCTGGCTATCCAATAATAAGTGATACCACTTTGGCTTGATTTCGTATGTCAGCAAGTTTTACATACCTACCTTTGTGTATAAATGTCGTATCGTTTGGTTATCGAAAATAATAAAATTGTTTATAATTTATTAATTGATGTATTATAGTAATAATAATAATAATTATTGTTATACGATAACTTGTATGAAAAATACGTTTTGGTTATTTACTAATGAGTACCCATTAGTGTCGTCTTCACCCACGGATGCCCCAAACGAACCATGTTACAAATAGTTGGGTGAAACAAATTTTTTCTTGTTTGTTTACATAATAATATGGGTACTTAGGTCGAAAATAAAACATATTATGATATTATTTTGGTGCAAAACGAGGTGTACCTTTTACAGCATTATCGATTCCATATTCTAGAATCAGCCCGAAAAAATTAGTTTTACGTTACTAATTGTAACTGCCTATTACATATTATATTATTATGAAACCATTCAAGTCATAAAGTACAGTTTATTATTGATGGATGCGCATTAGGTATTGTGACAAAGATGTGTTCTAACTTTGTCACGTTGATTGTACATGTCATATTATATATTACATTTCGTTTGAATGATCGTCTTAGGAAAATAAAAAAACATGATTCTCTCTCGAAATCATCTCGTATGTACCAGAGGACATACCTCGGTTGCAGTCAATCAGGATTTATTCGCTTATGCGCCCTATATTATTATACGTATATTAAGGTATAGGAACTTACACTATACTCGAATATACTTAAGTCTCGACGCTATAATAGCTATATATCTAATAGTCGTACCTATACATTTGTTGGGTGCCGATGGTGTTTACGTATTTTATTGGAATGATGCAATAGTTCCTAAAGTATTAATCTCAGTTCATATTGAGGGTAGATTATAAACCGTAATATTTGCCGTGTTCGTATTCAAAGACAAAAGGGTGGTGCTGTTTTTTTTTTTAACTACGCGCGTTCCAATTTGTTTTAATTGACTGACTAATTTTCGTTTGTCCAATCAATACTTTCTTATAGAACCGTGTTCCTTTAAGCTAGTTCATTTATTAATTCCGAATCATTCGAATTCGTTGCTAATAATAATTCTTTCTGACCTATATACTCGTATATACTTGGAAAAATGGAGTATTCATAAGTCGGATATTATATTGAAGTACCTATACTATATATACACAAACGTAATACATATTTATTTATTTAATGCTTAAAGAATATATTTACAACATAATATAGGTATATATGCTATTGTACATGATTAAATCGTGAAATTATTGTTTTATACATAAGCGTTTTAATGTACATGCAGGGGCGGGGGTACATTGAACAATGTCGGAATTTCTAAGTCGTTCGTTCTTTTTCTCGAATGACCGTGAAACATAATCCATAAAACATTTTCCTTTACTTAAATTGAACTCCAGAACTATAATGTATCACAAAACATTTCCGACAGAGGCACAGAGTTGTCATCTGTGTTGTGTTTAATTGTATATTGTGTTCATTTTTCACCGATGTTTAGTCGTTATCGTGGTATTGTGCTGGTATTTGTCTGGAGTGGAGTCCTTAATGCAGTTGTAGCAGTGATTTCTGAAATCTGCAGGCTCCACGAAGACTTTCAAAACCACCGAGGATTATTTGTTAAGAATAAAACTATAGATGAGTATAGTATTATATACCTAGGACCTAGGTATATATATACTCAGGTTAAACATTATTTTGTAAGAGCATTTAAACGGAGTTGTGGCCAATTTCCACAAAGAAAAGTTTGGTAGCGAAATTGTTATCAGCACCACATTAGGTACCACAATTATAATATTGTCATGTAACTGCAGAGTCATTTTAAAAGTAAATTAATTGTGAACTTGACAATGTTGAAATCCAGTAATTATTAGCAAATTGTTCGCAGTGGAAATTGTAAAAAAAAAAGTAATGCAATTTAATGAAACTGAAACTATTTACAGTTGGTATTGTGTAAATTCTTTCTTACTGTCACAGAACAGAATGGTTTTATGTGAATTAATTTGATACGAAAGAAAGTATTAAAACGTAATAAATTTCATAAATCTGATGGGCTTTGCCTTTTATAATACGCCAATCGGCGTAATCGTTATAACGACCGCAAAGTTGCGATGCACTGGTATAATAGTTGTGTGTACTTTCGTGACCATTGGGCTCTCGAGGATTTAGAAATAAGTTGCTCTTTATCCGTTTAAACATTATCCGACCCGCGTGCTTGATGCCTGGGTGTTGTGTGTACGTTTAACAGTAATCGATGGACAACCTCTGCTATATGGTCGAATACCAATTTTGAACGCTTTGCGAGAGACACCAAAGAGAATTTCATTCTGTTTTTTTCATTACAGCTGAAGTGCCTGTAAATTACGCCATTAAAGTTTCCATTAACGGCGGCGACGAATTCGACACACGAGATCGCATAATGAATAGTTCAAAAGACATCGTTTGTAAGCTAATATCTCACATTCCCGTCATTATGGTAACGCTTGGCGACAAAGGGCTGTTGGTATGTATAATCTATATACTATATGTAAAATGTATTATTATATTATGTATATGGATTTATGAACTCGAAGAACACACAGTCCAAGGGACCGTTCCGTTACAAAAAATACCAGAAAAAAAAACCAACAATCTTTTGTGATAAAAATATTCTAAACGATTTGTTTTTGGTTTCATGACAGTTGGCTTCGAGACAATCCGATGACACGGTTTCGTTAGTACACTATCCATCGCAAAAAATAGAGACTCCCGTCAGTGTTTCTGGAGCCGGTGATTGGTATGTACCTTATTATTTTGTTATTTGTTCAGGTATGCTCATTCCCATATAGCCTATAAGATCTTGAGCTAAAATTGTATTTAATATAATACCAATCATGTAAGTACGTGAAGTTCGGTAATTGGTACCTACTAGAATCCAAATGTTTTCCCACAATGGATTCTCTGTACTTACTGTTAGGTTGTATTGAAAAGAAAATTGGGAAACCGCATCAGCCACACAGTATAGGTGTCGAGTGTACCCGTCGTTGAGTAAGCTACTGTGACGTATATTATTATTTATTATGTTAAATTTGAATTCACTGATAAATCAATGCAAATGAAAAACGATTCTGACCAAAGTTAGTCTATCAGCCTACATTACCAATAGTATAATTTATGATGTATTTATACACTGCTATTATAGTAATTTATTTTACTATTACCTTAATAACAACTTTAAATTATATTTATAATATATAATATAATAAATTATATTTATACTATATTATATATCAATAATTGTATCATACACCTATTATCAACTTTTGTGTAAATACCAACTTACCGTAAGACGGTGTGAAAAGGTTGGTCGTTCGTAGTATAATATTAATAAAAAAATCATGCATGTATAATGTATATATCATCAGTATTTCTAATTTGCTCAATTATTGAAAAGTACTGTGTATTTTTTACTTTTAATCCCCCCAAAATAATTATAAATTCACTTCCTCACCACAAAAATTACTGAAGTGGAAAATCGAACCATTTTTCTACATTAAGAGTGTCTTCAGAAAAAAAAAACATCATTATAAAATCAATACATTCATCGCTCATCATCGGAATGTAAAAAAAAAAAATTATAATAATATCACAGAAGTAACAGAGTTAAATGAAATGCGGAAAAAAGGAGTATATACGTCGATTATGACGTAATACAATGAACGATGAATAATAATAATTATTTATATCTAATTAATGATAATTATGTTTATAATTTCGTTTTTGTCTTATGAGTACTTATATAAAATTTAGATTTATGGTATTGCATATTGCAGGGAAATGATGTACCTACCTTTGGTATAATTTATATAGCTATTCACCATTTATACGATTCGCTCAAACTCTCACTAATGTCTAATCATAATTCATAGTATGACTATATAGCCTATTTATAGGTTTAGCCGTTTGGGTATAGGTAGTGCAGATAATTGCATAAAGCGGATCAGCGAAACATTTAAACGACGATAACGTAAGCGATTTTCCGGGATTTCAATTGATGTCAATCTGTCCTTTGAATTTACAATTCGATGTTCAGCTAAACCTGCTGAGGTATAACTACATATACCTTAATTATAAATTAACAAGAGCTATTATTACACCGGCCACAAGTTCACTACTTGGGATCTAAATTATCGATTTTCACTACACACCTAAAATGGATTATTTATTTTCTTCCTTATAATGATGTTGTATTTATAATACAATTTTTGTTTGAAAAATACTTATCATTTTAAAATGTATCAATATATTTTTCCGAGATATTGTGTAATGCTTTCAAATTATGTAAAAAAAATTCATAATTTTACGGAGAAAATTACACTTAAATTGTACAAGAATCGCCCGGTATGTATAGAAGATTTCAGTTTTATAGCTTGAACGAAATGATTATAAGCTCGAAATTATCGAAATTAAACTCAACGATATGGAAACTTTCTAGTAAATTTAACTATTGTTATATTAAACCAAATTTTGAAATTCAAACTTGTATCACAAAGTTTGCTAAATAAATGTGTTTTTACTAATTATTTTATATTGAATACGTTATATAATATTGTATTCTTTATAACATAATATAAGTGTTATTTTTCCCTTTTGAAACGTTTTGACTGGGAGGCCTAGTATGTTGTAGGTTTAGTCTATAATCTATTAAGTTACAATGATATAATATAGAATTATGGACTATTATAGTTATAAGATGTATACAAATTGGGTAAGAATTATTGACAATTTAAAATTTGATTATATTATTTAAATACCTAAATAAAATGTTTATTTAATCTTAAATGTCTTTCTGAATATGTAAAAATGTATAATTTTCAGATATCATGGTTTAAATGTTTAGTTATGATAAGTGCAAACCATCAAAATAATGACAGATAAATTCAAATTATAATGCAATAATAATTAGTATTTCAGGATAGAAGAGTGACAATTTTAATAAGTTTTCTAAAACTAAAATTGTTTTAGGTAGACATAGTATATAATAAAATATATACAAGATTATTCACCAAGCATGCTCACTTTCTCCTCATTTTAAAGCATTTTAGTGGTTTAACCAACTTTCCGAAGTAGGTTCAGTTACATATCATTTTAAATGTCTGTAACTCAGCATTTAACAGTGTTAATAACCTGTTAAAAATATATATGAAGATACAACAATTAAATACCTATATTATTATCGTCCTAAAAATACTCCTAATCCAATTTATTCACGTACAAGTATGGCAAATCGATATTTTTGAGTTGTATTATTCATACACATTACACAAGTTCAAAAGCAGTTGTAAAATATAAAAGAAACGATTTGGTGGCTGAACAAACCTTTTGAATTCAAAAATGTCTAAATAATGAAAAATATATCTTAAATTCTCATGAAAATATTGTAAAAATGTATTAAATTACATTTTTGCATTATCATAAATAGAGTACCTACTACAATAACACGATCTGAGACTTCCATTTCTATTCTTCAGTATTTAGTCTTCTGACTAGAATAATTGTCTTCCAACTGACCTTATTAACTTTTCTCTACGTCTTGCCGAACCTTTTACTTTCAACGCATGTTAGATCCAATATTCCAATTTCTTATTTACGGCTGTAAGACCAAAACGCGATCTCCGAATTTCTTGAAAGGTTAAAGACCATAATAATATATAAAATCAATCCAAAACAAAAATCCACCGATAAAACGTACAGTGAACATTAAACAGAGTATATTATTAATGTAGGTATACGGTATAGGTGGCCACCTATATACATTGTATAATTTAGTTTTTTTGCATGAAAATGCAAATTTTTCGAGTGCAGGACTTGAACTTTTTATTAGAGGAGAATATGCTTACTGTCTCCAAGTTTTAATAACAAACCAAAAATTACATTTTATGTACTTACTTGTACAAAATATCTATATATTTTTTTTTTTACAAAAAATGCCACTCAGAATCGTTACAAAATGCGATGATTCATCACTATCTGATTGAAAGAAAAACCATGTTATATACAATATTACACTCCTCTGTAATAAACCTGACCAAGTGGCCCGCAGAAAACTGTGACCTACTCTGCGCAGCGAGGTGGGTACCGCCACCCTAAGTACCCATCGTCCGGGAACAAAGTATGTCTGGATTTTTATAATTTTCGTTTGACATAGTTTGTATACATATAATAATAATATGTTTTATTGACTTTCCGCTGTTCGCGGTCCTCGCTGCAAACTTTAAATCGACGCGTTTAAAAACACGTCAAACGAGATAAACTTCACGCTGGTGCAGTGAAACGTGCTTTATCTGATAGTCGTGCCAGGGTCTGCGATTACGACGAGCTCAGTGTATATATGCATACATATTACATGTGTACAATATTTGAGCGTTAATAATATCTTTGCGTAACTATAATGCGTTCCGCCTTCCGCCGATCTCTCGACCGAACTCGCGATACACTACCTATACTACTATATTATTATAACGAGTTTAAAGGAAATCCGTTTTATTCGTTTAAGCGATTTTCTAGGTAGGTATATGATACAATAATAATATATTGTCATGTTATTATAATGTATACAATAATGGCGTATATTACACTACCTATATATAATAATATCATGTATATAGGTACATTGTATATCGTGTCGTCGGACTCTTTCGTTTCGGATAAACAAACACATCAGCTAAATTACGGAAATAGCTACCAACTTATACCTATATAATATGGTTTCAATAATTTTCCAAAAAAATTTTAAGTAGGTATCCACGTATTATCTATATTTAATAATTAACTGTTGCAATAATGTTATGGATTACAATATTCATATAATTACGAAACATTAGTTAGTAGACGCAGATACTTATAGATCAATGTAGAATTTATCAAACACATGGCGAAGATATTATGTATGTCGTGATAAGCTATATATATAAATTGAACGTTCGGGGAAAGTATAGATAATAATATGTTTAAAAAACACACGATGGGAGTATAAGAACACAGGGAACAGATAAATCACGGATAGCGAAACATTTCCTAAAGCTACGGACATCAATCAAATGATAAAAATAGTCAAAATCAATAAAAAAAAATAAAACTAGAAATATCTACAAATAAATTTTTTTTATTAAATTGGGAAGCAAACTGTAAGTCTTTTACAAAATAATTAGTGAAAATTGTTAAATGTCGATAATATTGTTAAATGTTGTTGATATTGATGTAACAAACATATTAGTATCACTGCTTGAAAGATTGGTTTCTCCGGTAATAACAAGTTACCCACTAAACATTTTATATAGCCTACTCTGCCTACTCATAAATTGCAGATTACATATTTCTATATAGCTTATAGATTATAATTGAAGTAGTATAGGTTCACACAATCATACGAAATGTTTTAGTTGTTTTAGTATGGTGATGATGAATGATGATGAAAAGTATGATAGGCGATAGCACTGTATTTAAAATGCATATTTGCTACATAAAATAAATATTTAGTACACCTTGCGTGATTTAATTTAATTATTAAATATATTATTCAAGTAGGTACCAACTCTATTAAAACGTTAAAACGTGTATCTTTATATAACAATAATAAAATACATAAATTCAGTGTTAGGTATATTATAATAATTGTGTAAATATTTATGCAATTAAAATTTGCAAATGTATATTATTAAATATTAAAATATTTATAAAATTGCATGTCATATTTTGAATATCGAATATTTTAATCAAAATAAAAATTCTTTGTACGTGAATAATTTAATGAAATTATTGAATATTAATTAATCCAAGAGATATGGAG